GAGGCAGCCAGGTGGGAGCTCCCACTCCATGCATTGGTGAGGTTGGGCCAAACTGCACAGAGTGACAGCACTCTGTGCCCCACACCTGGTTCTCCCCAGCCACCCCACTCCTGCAGACGGAGCCCCAGATGCAGAAGCAGCAGAGCAGAGCAGGTAGCCGTCTGCCCAGGAGGACAGCTGGGCTCCAAAAGCCACTGCTGTTCATAAACTCCTTCGGCACAGTAGAGTTTTGAAAAGATTTTTAAGGGATGAATTCTGTTTTTACCGTTTTCCCCCAACTTCATTCAAGCACGAGATGCAGGTTTCTTTAAACTCACACATCATTTAGGCCAACTGCTATTGCCGAATTGAGATGTTTTATCTCGGTTTCCAGATTCAATCTTTTCCTTGATATGTCATCAAAGCATCAACTATTACAAACAGGAGGCGCTTTGTTCTGAAAAGCAAATGTTGTGGCACATGGAAAGATACTAGTGTTGTCATTCTGCAAAGAAAATCCAAGCATAAAATGAAAAGAAAAAAACAACCCAGAATGAAGTTTCGGAATTTTATCAGAAAACTGTGAAGTTTTCTAAAGATTAAAAAACTACAGCAACAAAAACAATGATTTTTTGTTGTTGTTCTAATGGAATTTTCTGTGCTTCACTTTTATATGATAATAATAGCAGAAGCAAAATCCCCCTGGCTCTGCTAGGTGGGCTGGGCACAGAAGCAATGAGGTAGCACTGGGATGACCCTGGTCTATCTGCTTCATCTGCCCTGGGCTCCACTTCACCCAAGACATCCTCCCTTTGGAAAGCAAGGCATCAGGCACCACGACTCCAGCAGAAAAAAGAGGCAGACTCCCAGATGTGCTTATCTCAACCTTCTTGAAAGCACCCCTCGCTTCCTTGGCAGCAGTAGCCAAACACCAGCTGCAAAACGTTGTGTTCCCTGGTCTGGTTTAACCAGCAACTCAGCACATGCGGTGGGAGCTCCCAAAATAGCTCCGGGTTGCCTCATCAGTCTCGGCAGCAGCTCAAAAGACCTTTGGTTTTCTGGGACTTGGAGAAGCTCAAGACGTTGGAGCTTATTTTGAAAGTATTTTGTAAGATAAGGATGAAATATTCCATGGCCGGGTGAACCGCAGGTCACCGTCAAAGCGTTGCACAACGCAACCAAGGAAGCTCAGCACAAAACTTGCACAGGATTTGATCTGCTTGCTGCTGTCCTGACCTAAATTCGGATTAAAGCTGAGGCTCTACCATGTTGGCAGCCCACTGGGCTGAAGGCTTTCATCAAGTGTCCTAAATGCCAAGGGAGTCACGCCAAGGAGGAGGACAATACAGGTCCTTCACTGCCAGCAAAATAGGTCCATTTTCCAGGAGTTAAAGCACAGTTCATCCCAGTAAATGGCTATTTTTTGGCTGCATCTCCCTGCTGCACAAAAAAACTACTCTTTCTTGGAATCATCATTTGCTTTTGAAAAACAGCTTCCAAAACCATACACATCTGTGGCTTCCCATCAGGGCAGGAGAGCAGTGCTTGCTGATGTGTCTCATGTTTCTCATCACGCTCTCCTGCGCCTTGGCCAGCACTGTCAATACGGCTTTCTGCTGAGTCAGGCTGCTGGTTTTCTTATCCCACATCCCAAACGGATGGTTTCAAGTACTCCAGACATATTTCAAACACAGTTTGAAACCCAGCCAAGCCCAGGGGGACACAACTCTTCTGGCTGTCTTGCAGCTGGGCTGGTTTTCTCCTGGGAAGAGTGAGCTGGGCTGCAAGAGGGAAATGCAGTATCATCCCAGGGGACACCCACCAGGGACAGGCTGACCCAGGCAAGATGTCAGAAGGACTTTATCAGGCAAGTGTGCAGGGTTTGGTCTCACCTTCCTCACATGGCACCCTTGCTGCTCTGTTGCTCCACACTCACCTCTTTGTGGAGGGATCCCATCCCCACTTGCTCCCCTATCTCCCTCACCCATTGCTCACAGACCAGGTCCCATTGTGCAACATTCTCCACCTCGGCAGCTGCTCTAGAATGGATGGTTTTGTTAACTCCATGTAGCATGCTGTCTGCAGTGGAAAGGATGCTCAGTCACTGGCAGCCCTCCAGGAAATACCTCTGCAGAGCCACAGGACCTCATGCATGCCTTATGGACCCATGCCACCCTAGGGTCCCCTCCCAGCCCCCTTTCCAGGTCCTGCATTTAGATGTCCGTCACACAACAAAACAGCAAAAGCAAATCTGCAACGTAGAGATCCATTATGCTTTATTTACATGCGTCACCATCTCTTTTACAAACTAGATTACAATTTAAAATGGAATACACAAGGCAATATCTACTAACACCAAGTGGAGTAAGCACTGCGTCTCTACTTCGTTTGGAAAGGGGCAGGTTTTGCTCCAAAACAAACTTCCTTCCAATCTCTGTGTAGTAAGGTAATATATTCATCCAGGGCAGCATCTTTTTTTTTTTTTTTTTTTTTTTTTTTAATATTTTAAAATTATTTTATAAAATCCTCAGTAAGACTGCAACATGAGAGTGTCTGCTTTCAAATGAAAGTACGAGATAGCCCAAATGAAAAGTATAAACTGTTCAGCTCTTCGGTATGTAAAGACGGCCATGCGCGCTAAGGCTGTGGATTTAATATTCTTCCAATTTACATGGCTTGAAACAAAAACAGATAAAACAGTTTTACAGATACTGTATACATATTTTTTCCAATCATGCAACTTTTTTTAAAAAAAGTTAAACATGTGAAGCCAAATGTACAATCCATTTTTCCAACCCATACGAACAAAATGTATCTGGTCCCCCTTCGCATCTGTTGGCAACTCCTAATGAATATTGTGTACTAAAAACAATTACAGGACACTGATTGCCAAGCAATGACGTCATTTGAGAGAAACACATGATCTAAAAGGTTATATTTTTGAATCAGTGGCACAAAAATTTCTGGAGTTAGGCGGTGGCCAACCATCCAATTATTCTCGTGAGAAAAAACTTATAAAATTATTAAATAAACCCGAAAAACTATGACTAAGAACTGTTATAATGCCACCTTTTTAGACCTTTTGTAAAGCGTTTGTTTAAACAACACAGGTGTAATTGTTCTGGGCCTTCATCTGTTTTACATGCTTTCAGAAGGAAAACTATGCAGAAGAATGTTCAAAAACTCAAAGGCCAAAGTTTTCAAAAGGTGGCTTCCCCAAATTAACTATTATTTTAAGCCTTACTTTGACACCTACACAAGTGACCCTTGAGTTCAGCAAGACGCAGTTATTTTTCAGCACCTCTGGACACGAGAGCAATTTTTAGGCACCTCAGCATGCGGACGAGGTGGCCCTGGGGGGCAGCAGGCACCTCTGCGTGATTTGAGAAGTGCCAGCCCCATGACACCACATCCATGTCCCAGACTTTCGATGCCTGACGTGAGGCACTTCAGTTTGAAAGTTTTGGCCGCAAAAACGAGCAACAGAAACCAAACCAAACTGAAGAGGCTGTCCAAATCCATCCCCTCTTCAGCTGGTGCTGAGATAGTCTCCAGCACAGGGGCCCAACGTGGCCTAGATACGCCAATGGAAATGCTCTCCTTGACATTGCTGGGAGGTAGATTAAGCCTTTCAGTTGCTAATGCTTTTAATTAAAAAAAAAAAAAAAAAAACCTTCTCTGCCACTGACTGGCTGTCTCTGAATCAATTGTCTCCATTTTCTGAACAGAGCGGACCATGTTTTTCTCTCTATTTATGCCAGTGTGAGCTAGCTCTGAGTTCAATGTAACAAGGCTGCCCCGGCAGAGCACAAATCGCCGCGGGCTGTTTTAGACTAAGGGGCTTTCCCTTGCACTGGACAAGAACTGCATCCGCACAAAGGAACAAAACTGAACAATGGGTTTTTGTCATCTTAGCCATCCACCACAACATCAATACTGGTGCTGCCCAAATACATCAGACACCTGGCAGGTGGCCTTTGGGAAGGCCCCGGGCCTCACTGCTGACATCACCTGTTCATGGAGCTCTGCTGGTGGCCAAATCCTCAGGGTATGGGGAGAAGCCCAGGCTCGGGCAGCCACCACAGAGCTGCCTGGGGAAGGAGCACCAGAGGACAGGCCTTTGGTGTGCACTCACATTTTGGGGTGTGCCAGGAGGCTAGCAGGGAAGCCCTTGACTGATTTTGTTAAGAAGCATCTGCAGTTGGACTGATAAGCAAAGTGACACCTAGGCCTGGTGTCCTGCGGCATGCTAGTGTCTGCTAACAACCAACCTCCTGGAATATGGAGATGGGCAGCGCGTGTCAGCTACCTCCCGTGGATTTAATCACCTAGTCCCTGTGCTGACAAACAGACCAAGTGAGTGTGAAAATAAAAGTCTCCTTTTTTTTTAGAAACGAGAATGATAAACCCTTGGCTACTTGGAAAAGTTGATATGCTACAGGGCAACAACAACCACAACTGCACAGAGTTTACACGGTCATAAGTGCGGGATGAAACCAAGAGGTGCATCTTTACGAGAACACTGTGAGCATGAGGGGGTTACGTTACGAAACAAAACTTCCATCACACGGGGAGCTGTTATTTCACCAATATCACCTTGGGGACCTGGAAAGTGAGGAGCGAGGAAGGACCCATGAGCGCTCGGGTGGGTGTGCATGGCTGTGCGTGTGCGGTGGCAGTGGCGAGAGGGAGTCACTCCACATTTGCATGGTACACGGACCGGTGGCAACTCATGCACTGAAACTTTGGGTTAAAATGCTAGTTGGTTTTCCTAACATCCATGCATAATGATCCATTTCTGTACATAATAAAATATATTTATATATTTATATGCATAATGCCTTTATGCAAAGAAAAAAGCTTCATATATCACTTTGGAGAATTATGTATACACTGTCCTATTCAGAACGTCTTCATACCAAGTTCTTATGTACCACTGGTGTTTTCCCCTCTTTTTTTGTATCCCTCCCCCCAAGATACTAATAAAAAGTAATCAAACTTTCCAGATTATAGAGAGGATCTATACAGCACCATACCTTTTATTCATTATTATTATTATTCATTTTACAAAAGAAAATCTTAAGAAGCAAAATATATAAAACTGCCTTGTCTTTCAGTGTCATTAATCCTGTTACAATCTATGCTCATATGAAAAGCCATTTGCATGATACCTTACCATTCTCTCTCTTGCTGCTTCTTCTGCAATGGATTATATACAATGAAAAAGAAAAAGTCATCAAGGATATGTCAAAAAAAAAAAAAAAAAGAAAAGGAAAGGAAAAAAAAAAAAAAAGGATCACTGATGCAATAACACACACTGCAATGATCTGTGCCTGGACACCCAGTGCTGCCACTGTGATCGACTTGCTGACGCATACAGCCTGTTCACTCATCTTTCCTGCAAAGGAAAGTGTTTCTCTTGATTTTTGCTTCCCAGACAGCTCTTTACAGGTGGTTATACGCTCAACATGTGTGGCAGCAGAGGGGCAGCTCAGCCTAAAGGTTCTCACCACGCTACCTGCGGCAGCCCTGCTAAGATAAGGCAGGAGGTGAGGCCGCTCCAGTGGGCAGCAAGCAGGATCCCATGGCAGCAAAGGCAGCAACACCTGTGGTCAGTCCATCCTCACCAGCACCAGCCGGGAGGTCTGCCTCGCTGGTTTCCCTGGCTTTGCAATCAACTCTGGCTTGATGCTTACAGAAAACGGGGCCGTACCATTAAGTTTAAGGAAAGAATGAGAAAGAAACAAACGAACCAACCCAACAAGCAAATCACCTCTCTGGAATTTGGTAGGTTGGTTGGTATCATGAATGGTGTCTATCTGGAGAGCCCTGACATCTGAGCAACGTTGGGTTATGATCATTTCCTTGCACATATGCAGTGTTTCAGATTCCCCACTGAGAGAAAGCAGAAATGGTCAAAAATCTACAGAAATCAAACTGGAGGTTGCGGGGAGGAGGGTGGGCAGACAGGGAAAACCTCCAAAAAGAAAAGCCAACTTAAAACATCCCATAAACCATTAATATATTGAAACACCACATACTCATTGACAAGTAACTACTGTAAAGGCTACACAGTGTGTTCTCAACAGGATGGTGCTGAACATTGTCTCCACAGCAGGTGCTTGGCCATCCCAGAAAAGGAAGATTTTGCATACTTCAAAATGAGTTCAATTCCAAAGAAAAAGAAGGAAGAAAAAAAAAAAAAAGGAGGATCTTCACTCAGATAAGGGGCCTTTTAACAGTCTGCTTTGTTAGGAAAATAATGCAGGGTTCACAAACGTCATAAGCTGTAAACAGTATCACTGTCCACTTGCTGACAGCAGATTTGGCAAAGGGTTCTCTCTCTACATCTCGTGTCAGTTTGAGGGCCTGGAAAGAAAGAAGAAAAAGAAGAAAAGACAGTGAGATTGCTACATGTAAGAAAAATTAACCTCTACAAAACAACAACAAAAAGACAACCGAGCAAAGCTCCAAACCCAGATTACACTGACAAGAAAGTTTAATTTGTTTTCATCCAAAAGCTTCAAATGCAAAGCAAAGGATAAGTTTACACCATTTTCCCTCATGAAAACGTTTATCTCTTGCCACAGTCTGCGTGTTTTTCTTTTCTGGCTAATGGCAAAGTCTAACTAAAGAAGCCCAGAATGTCGTCTACTTGCCATGCATATTTCCAGGTGAAGCATGGAAGGATCCTTTACCTTCTGGAGATTTTTCATGATCACTCTCTCCATCACCTAGAGGTCTCACCATCACCAAGAGGCTGGACAAATCTGTCAGCATGTGACAAACACCAGCCCTGAGGGACAGCCAAAGAATGTTGCTCAAAAGCAGCAATAAGGAGCCACCAATTTTGGGTTGGACTGTTCTCCATGAAACGTGAACATTTCAACACGTCAAAGATCAGGTTTTTAAACGTGGGCAGAGGCTTAAGGATACAGGAAGGCACCTCAAAGGATTTTTAAAAATATATACATTTAAACATTCCCATGAAATCCTTTCGTATCTTCAGGAATCCCATATAGTAGCCATCTGTACTGCTTAGCATGTGACTCCTCAAAGACCCAGCTGCTGAACCCTGGGCTCAGTCCCCATCACCTTTTGAGCCTTTTGAGGACTTTCCCTGAGATGAATGACTCATTTTTTTCTACTGCGCGAGAAGAAGAGGACCCTTGCTGAAACCACAAAGTAATCTGAGTCAATTACAGGAATGTTTTTTCTCTCTGGAAAGCCTGGTATCAGCCACCCTCAGAAAAAAACATGGATTTAGGGGGACTGCTGGATTAATCTGGGAGAGCAGCTCCTACGAGGGAAATCTCCCAGTGTTACAAAAAGGCTTGTGTGAGATGACTCCATTACTGCACAGACTATTCTGAGGCTTCTCCTTTTTAAGGTTCCAGGCACTGATCCTATGATAACATTTTATTAAAATGACCTATTCTGATAATGCTAAATGATTGATGGAAATTTAATCATTTTGTCTGATGGTTATTAGAGCAACAGTGTGACAGCTGCTCCCTGCGCCATTAGGGGAGAACTTCATTCAGAGTGGCTTAGGGAACAGACAGATTGCGTTTTTCACCCAAACAAAATTTGGCTTTAGCCTTAATTACGTGCAGGGTTTTGGGGTAGACTGTTTTATGAATAAAGGGATTTCTGACTGGATCAACATATTGATTTCTTCGTTTCCAAAGAGTAAATTAATGCTAGCCCTTTGCTAATGTGACTGCCTGGCAACAATTCCATTTGGTGTGTGTGTCTCCATGGCCACAACAAGGTCACCAGGAGATCCCCGGTTGCCAGACGGGCCTGGTAACTCCCAGTGTAACCCAGCAGTGGATTTTTTTGTGGAACAAATGAACGGCTGTCCTTTGCAGGGCCGTGCTCCTCCACTTCTCACTGAAGCCATGGCACCGAGGCTGGAAGCTGGTGTCTTCCCAACATGCCAGCTAACTGAGCTCATCGGAAGAATGGGTTCAGCACCATGCACTGCAGCAGCAAGCTGGGCAGGTCCTACAGGGCAGCCAGCTAAGCTAAGCACGGGCTGAACGTGAGTCCTGCTGATTTCAGATGGAGCTTATAATTAAAAAGGAAAGGAGTACAGGAACTCTGAAGTACCAGAGTAGCGTTTACTATTTGGATTAAAAATGTACGTAGGATATTATCCTATGAAATATGTGACAAAATATTCCTGTGTGACAAAAGATAAAAGTGAAGGACAGATGCTCACAAGCATAACCTGTGTAAGTGGCACTGCCTGATGTTACCTTCTGAGAACACCAGTCCCTTAGACTGCACAAACCTCCAGGAGATTGAGGTTTAACCCAGGGAAATGCACAGCAGAGGTGGAACTCACTCATAGCAGAACCGAAACACGTTCAGTTCTCACTGTTCTGTTTACACAGACTTTGCAAAGGGATTAAAAAATGGAAGGAAGCAGATCAAAGTCTTAACCACTGTACCTTCAAATTACCCCATTACAGCCCGTAATAGACCCACACATTCTCACTTTCTGTCTCACCACAAAAAGCCTCTGTCAACCTTGAGTTAGTTGCCCACTATTACATAGCAATGAAAGCCATATCAGGCAGGGAAGTGAAAATTCCAGCTACATCTCCATACATGGGTGGTCCTCCACCATAACCGCCCAGCTCTCTCCCACCCCAGCTCCAGCATCTTCAGCCACCACTAGGATTTCTCATGCTCCCAATGGCAGCTGGAAAAGCTCAGTGTCCACAACTTCACCCCCAATCTGCAGAGAGCAGCGCTCAGAAGCAGCGTGATGCCAACAGCTGGAGGCTGTGCAGCTCTCACAACAGAGCTGATACTTGGGCTCTGTGGCTCACAGACATGCACTGGAAGTAGGGGCAATTCTACTCTGTTTTGATCCCTCGGGTACAGAACATTGGACATCACAAGAAGCCAAAGGACTTTATGAAACTACAACTTATGGAGCCACACATGCATGTGGTTAGCGAAAATGAACACTTTAAAAGAGAAACAGAAAAAGCATTAAATTAGGGATAGCTCAAGATGAACTCTTGCTTTATCACTTCCTACAGACATTCTGAGCTTTAGATGCTAAATCTGCTTTTCCTATTCTGTGGAAGAGCATAAAACCCAAAGATTTCTGTATTTCTCAGTTCTTCAGTCTGTAAGCAGTTATGTGGGAGATGCTCACATTCTGTCTTTTCCTACACCCTACTAACCTCTACTTTGCTACTGACCTGCTACAAATGCTACCCTTGCTTTACTCTGGTCCAGCTGTTAGTTATGATTTCCCTCCCCACCATCACATTTCCTAAGCTCTGTCTCACATCACATCTCCACCACCTAAGGGGAAAAGTGGTCTCCCAAGCCCCACAGCATTTAGTGGACCATTACAGAAGCTCTGAAGGATCATCTGCTCCATTTTGTTTTCTCCCTTTGATTTCCACCTGTGCCAATTACACAGCATTGGAAATTTCTTCAGACTGCAAAGGTGATGGATGCAGTGATGCTCCTCAAAGGCAAGGCATAGATGATGTGCACTGCTGGTATGTTTATCAGTAGGCCAACATCAATATCAGCACATAACATGGATTTGCAAAAAGAAAAGTGATGTACTCCTTCACATTATCACAGTTCTAGGAACTGCACCATCAACACACTGCTCCTCTGTAAAGAAGCCTACTGAGTAACTCATTTAGGTTGGAAGACTTGATGAGTGGATTGCATCTTGAAAAACACTACCACTCAAGGCCTGTAAAACAAGCATTTTCCCTGGGTACCACTCAGCAGGGACAGGAAATCCCAATAATGCCTTTTACAAGTAGCAGGCCAGAGACTCAGGATGGAAACGTTGTGAAGGAAATGCATGTCCTTCAGTGACAAATGCGCATTTGATTTGGTGCCTCTCACCCCTGCTTCTGTCATCACCCCCAGCAGTACAGCTTGTCCTCTAAAATGGAGCAGGCTCAAAAAGGAACACTTGACTAGGAATGATTCCAGCTTTTTCCTTAAGTTAATATTCAGTGATAGGTTTTCACAGCTCAACACTGAAGAATACAAAATATTTGTTAGAAATGAACAAGGAAAATAACTGTTGTGGATTTCTATAATGACAAAGTTTCAGTGACATTTTTCATAAATCACAGAATGGTTTGGGTTGGAAGGGACCTTAAAGATCATCCAGTTCCATCACCCATGCCATGGGCAATGTTGCCACCCACTAGACCAGGCTGCACCATGCCCCATCCAGCCTGGCCTTGAATACTCCTGGAGACCTCCACAATTTCTCTGGACAAGAGAAGAATGAAAAGTAGAAATGCTGACTCCGTGGTGGTACCTTTTAGGCTTAGCATGCACTGCACAGGAGTGGCACTGTGCCAAAATGCAGTGCTGAAGTCAGGATGTGAAGTCCAAGGAAAAAAAAAAAGAGCTGGCAACTTCATGCAATTTCTTTCGAAGGTCTGAACTTCCAGTCATGTTGCAACTTCACTTTTTCTCTTTGAGTTGTACTCAGAAAAAAAAATATTCCTGGTTCAGACTGGTGGGCAGAGAGCAAGAGCAGAAAAATGGAAAGACTAAGAAAGCAGCACAGAACTAGGGCATATGGGAGCTAAAAATTTGCTGCGCCGGTATTGCACAGGCATGTAAAGCACAAAAGTGTATCTTTTCCTTCTGTTGCTGCCTTTTCACTCCAGAATACATTGCAAACCATAGCAGACAACCAAATATTTTGGAAGTAAATGTAACCGAAGATGTCAGATCATTCTTTCTCCCTGTGTCAGCTCTGCAATAAAAGGCTTGCCAAGGACTGTAGTGAGGTGCCATAACTCAGGTTGGATATTAGAAAAAAATTCTTCTCAGAAAGCACAGTGAAGCAGTGGCACAGGCTGCCCAAGGAGGTGGTGGAGTCACCATCCCTGGAGGTGTTCAAGATATATGGAAATGTGGCACTGACAGATGCGGTTCGTGGGCATGGTGGGGATGGGCTGGTGGTTGGATTAGATGGTCTTAGTGGTCTTTTTCAACCTTAATGATCCTGTGAATCTATGACTAATGACGTGTTATCCTGATGGACCTTCCTCTACCTTCTCTCCCCTTGCAGAGACCAGTGCTGTTTGTCATGTCCTGTAATGCCACTGCTGCTTGCTCCTGAACAAAAAGCAACTTGCAGCACCACAGAAATTCACAACTTTGCCAGATGCCAAAGCCTGTCTTATCATTTCGTACAGAGTAAGCCTCTGTGAAGATTTAAACCAGACTGCATAGCATAAATGACTTTATCTCTATATAACTCACCACTTAAGTCATCTAAATCTACATTTACCTTGCCACACACTTTATAATTTGTCTGTTTGACAATGAGGTAAAACAGAAGAAACAGA